TTTTAGTTTTAGTATATTTAAAAAAAACCTGTTCATTGCATTAATCAGTCTTATGGCAGCTAGGATAGGCAATACATAACTTCAATGCTACATTGTTTCATCTTATTTCTGCTTATCCTCTCTGTCCCTTTAAGTTGAACAGGTAGCAATCCCTAATGTTCAAAACTATTTGAGTTCTGTTTTATTTTTCCATGCTTAGGCCAATCTCTTCTTTAACATCTCACTATTCAGCAATGTTTAAATAAGCCATTACTGCAGGTTATGTTGAAATCTCAAAGCTTCTGATCCACAATGACTATTCAAAATAGCCATCACTAAAATTAATAGTGAATCTTCCTTGTAAACATCCTACCCTACCCCCTGAGAATAGCATTATTTTCTTTCAGACATCACCAGACATCACCAGACTACCCAAAATAGCTTTATTCTTTTGCTGTATCCCATCCACTTTTAGTTGTAGCAATCACACTTGGGCAGAAGTAAGGAAACTCAATGAGGGGTTCAGAAAACAGCATTAGCAAATAAGCTTCTCTTCACCAGAAAAAGGACACAGGCAGAGCAGAATCTGCAGAGCAGAATTGCTGCTCAGGGCACTGCATCCACATTACCTTCATTCAGGGAGTTTAGATTCAGAATACCTCTGCTGACAGATCCTACAGACTGTCTGATCATGGAGCCCAAAGAAACTCTGGTCTCATACCAGCACTGGACCCCTACCAATCAGCTCCAACCCACATGCTCCAAGAATCTCTGCAATACGAAACAAGGGATAGCAGCATGGCTGGGAACCTTATCCCCAGAATATTCTCCTGGGCTGTACCAAAATACTGTCATAGTTTCATTCCTTGTCTTCAGCACAAGGACTTCTGGGAACCCTAGCACGCCTGGATCAAATTTAGGTACATGCATATGTAAACAGCTTCTCTGAAAACTTACTGACTAGAATTCTCACTGAGTTAAGTGCACATTTCCTCTCTCCTTCCTCATTAACTTTTTTTTGTGTTTTTCCATTACTTTACTCAGAATAATTTACATATTTATAACTACCTTTAAGTGAAGTATAATATTTTCTTGGCTATTCTCTACCATACTTCATCCACCTCTCTTAATAGTCATTCTTCTTTCCCCCTCTATAGAAAACATTTGGGAAGGGGGAAGCCAGCAACAAATTAAGCAAGAATCAGGGTAGACAGGAAATGGTGTGAAAGGGGGAAATTAATTGTCCTGAACTAAGTTTTCACTTTATATACAAACACAGAATCTAATGTGAGTGAAAATTCATATTTAGAATGAAAATGATTATAACAAACCTGAGAACTATAAAATGCTCTTGATTTAGGAAATGTAACAGAAGACTATATACTAGACCTCAATAGCAGAAACAGCATACATTTTTATAGACATTCGAGCCCAGTCATTCACAAGTGCTTGACAATTTTGATTTGGTGAACAAGCATTGCAGAAGGACTGTTATTCTTGAGTCTGGAAAACAAACAACCTATAGAGAGTTTTTAGAAGAATTTAAAGAGGGAAGACTGCTGGAGATTGTAACTTCTAATCTGAGATGATCTTGGAAGAATAAAACAGGAGTCTACAAAACCAAATGAATTCAGTTTTTGGCTAGTGAGTTGTTCCATTTGCAAGCAGCTGAAGTAGCAATGGGAAGCTTTTCATCATAGCTTACTTTTCCAATTTGATTACCAAATGCTGTCCTCTACAAATATAGCTACCAATAAATTACCATTTCGCTTTGTATAGCTTTGTCAAAAAGCAGCGTGGAACTGAAATTTCGGTCTAAACCCAAACTGGTGAGTCAGAACAACATAAAACAGACCACACGATTTCTGTTGGCAACCAAAGCCTACTAAAGCTTCATCTAGTTTGATGAAATTGTTTAAAAAACCTTGGTCTTGACAGCTCTCCAGAACATAATTTTTAAACAAGTATCTCTTTGGCTTGAAATATTTGAAAAGCCAAGTTGAAAAAATAATTGAATGAGATCTCACTATTCAGCAATGTTTAAATAAGCCATTACTGCAGGTTATGTTGAAATCTGAATATTTAATTCAATACATATATGGGGTTTGATTGCACTAGAGAATGTAAACCAATTTTGCATCAAGGTATGTGCTGAGACATGTAAAAGAGTAGCCAATCAATACTTCTATGTTCTTGGTATAAATTAGACTTCATTAATAGATTTAGCAATCTTTTCCTCAGAGGAATAACCACTGCTTTTAGACGGCACAATTAAAATCACAATTATAATCTAAAAGCAGGACAGCTTTGGAACAATACAGCTGACAGACAATCTCTATAACAGCATCAGTGCTGACAATGCCTTTAATATCTCAGGCAAAATTGGCAGGACCCACCACTCTGTGAACCTAGGACTAGATGATATTAGATGATATTTGCATCTAAAATATTGTAAAAGTAACAAGGAGATACACTCTGAGCTAAAGTCTAATGCAATTTGCCACTAAAAAAAAAAACTGTCAGTATATCACAAATAAATTACAGACCATGCTTGTTTTACATGTGTAGGATTTTAAAAACTATCTTCCTTTTCATGGCCCTAAGAAGGATGAGAGAGGAAGATGTGCAAAATAAGTTGATATGCATTTGTGCTGATTTTATGCATCAGCAGAAAAGAAAATGAACTCTCTGCATTTTCTAGATAAGAACAATTTCCCTGTCAATATAGGAAGAAGGCTACCTTGCAGATCCAATAACAAACCAAAATCAAATGTATTTCATAAGCATACCTCTATTATTTAAAAAAAAAACCCCAATATGTAGAATAATAGTTTCCTCCTTCACCTCACTTTTGGTTCAACAAGACTAGCCACATATTGGAAAATGCAGTTTATTATCTAAAAGACAGTCAAATAGTCATTGTATTTCATGTGTACATATATGTAATACATACACTGGTCTTTTTGTGAGAGACTGAAAGGAAAAATTGTAGCTGATGCAATTTTTGATCAATTTATAATATTTTCTAAATAAACATTCAATAGAATGTGTTACCATTATAAAAAAAAACAACCCAAAACAACAGAATCCAGGCTCTTTTTGCATCCTTCAGTTTTTATTTTTAAAATGACTTCTTAAATTAACATCCATTACAGATATTCCATTTTGTTCTATAATGCTGCCACTTGTTGCAAACTGCTGAAGTAGTCTCACAGTATCTGTGTTAAACTTGTATGTAATGTCCAACAAGTAAGCACGCTAACTCCAACATACAGGTGCAGGCTCCTCACACAAACTAAAAGCTCACACAAACTAAGCAGTGAGCTTGTTTCCTTATTCCTCTATTCGTGATATTTGGTTAAGTAGCTCCACCTGCTGTTTTGGTAACTAAGAAAATGAAGTAGTATTAAAAAACCCCATAACAATGCCAGAATTATGACAGCAGTAAAACGAATTATCAGTTGTGATCTTGCCACTGTGTGAAATTTTTAAGTTTTTATGGCAGACAGAAGTCTTTCAGTCAATATCTGAAAATGTAACATTCATATATGTACAAAAGAACTAGTGCCATGGGCCACTTTTGAAAGTAGGGCGCAGGGAAGAACAAAATTCTCACTACTTAAATGTAGCACTAAGTTATTTCTGAAAGGCTGCTGCACCTGCACAGACAGCTTCCTGTGATTTCATTCATCAAGTCTGATGACCTGCTAAATCTGTTACCTGTCTGGGTTTTTTTTCCTTACTAAATAATCTGCACTTTTTAAGCTCTTTGATGATCCTGAATGTATTGAAGCAAAAAAAGAAAAAAAATCTAGAAGCCTTAAATCTCACATTTCCAACAAATTTGCACTTGTTACTTGTAAGAGCTGTGAAACACTTTTACTCTGAATGTCAGGTTCTCAGTGACAAACACAGCAGCTGAAGCTTGACTTCCATTAAGTTGAAATTGAATTAACCCTTCATGCATTTCACCACCACGCTACATTGCCTGAAAATATGTCGTAGATGCCCTGGTTGATCTGGTTTCCTCTCTCTCACAGGTGTGCAGGTAAGGGGGGAACAAGGACCCCCTGGTCCTCCAGGCCCCGCTGGACCAAGAGGACAACCAGGTCCTGCAGGAAAGCCAGGGTTTGGAAGTCCGGGTCCCCAAGGCCCCCCTGGTCCCCCAGGACCACCTGGGTTCTCTGCAGTCGGAAAGCCAGGAGTGCCAGGTCTACCAGGAAAGCCAGGAGCAAGAGGACTAAATGGTGAGAAAGGAGAACCCGGACCCGCCGGACTCCCAGGAGCAAGAGGGCCACAAGGGCCCCCCGGCGCTCCCGGCCCCGCAGGACTGACCGTCCCTGGCAAGCCAGGACCACAAGGCCCTCCAGGAGCTCAGGGGTCACGGGGACCTCCTGGCGAGAAGGGAGAGCCAGGTATCCCAGGTATAAATGGACAAAAGGGAGAAAATGGATTCGGAATTCCAGGCCGCCCAGGTGGCAGGGGTCTTCCAGGCCCACAGGGACCCCGGGGCCCCCCCGGTCCGGCTGGGATAGGGAAGCCCGGTGAAAGTGGCCTGCCAGGTCAGCCAGGGCTGAAAGGTGACAGAGGTTTTCCAGGCGCACCTGGAGCAGTTGGTCTCCCAGGTCCCCAGGGCCTCCCAGGTGAACCTGGAGAAGTTGGCATTGGCAAGCCTGGGCCAATGGGACCACCAGGAGCAGCAGGTATCCCTGGAGCCAAGGGACATCCTGGACCTGCAGGGTTGCCTGGATCCCCAGGACTCCCAGGTTTTGGAAAGCCAGGATTGCCAGGGATGAAGGGACACAGAGGGCCTGAAGGTCCTCCTGGCCTTCCAGGACCTAAAGGAGACCAAGGTCCGGCTGGTGTGCCAGGAGAACCGGGGCCGATGGGGCCACCAGGGAGCATGGGCCCTCATGGACTGAAAGGTTTGCCTGGCGAGAATGGCCTGCCTGGGCCCAAAGGCGACATGGGCCCTGCAGGCCACCCGGGATTCCCAGGGGCCAAGGGGGAACGAGGCCTACCAGGATTAGAGGGAAAACCGGGATACCCAGGTGAGCAGGGCCTTGCTGGTCCCAAGGGACACCCAGGTCTCCCAGGTGCCAAGGGGGATGCTGGCCCCGCGGGGCTGCCTGGGCTGCCGGGTCCCATGGGTCCGCAGGGAGCCAAAGGGGTGCCAGGGACCAACGGAGAGCCAGGTCCCAGAGGGCCTTCAGGAATACCTGGGATCAGAGGTCCCATTGGCCCCCCTGGCCTGCCAGGAGCCCCCGGTGCAAAGGGTGAGCCAGGAGCACCAGGACTGCCGGGCCCAGCAGGCATTTCCACAAAAGGCTCAAGTGGACCCATGGGACCGCCTGGACCCCCCGGCCCTAAAGGCAGCAATGGTGAGCCTGGCTTGCCCGGCCCCCCAGGTCCTCCTGGTCCCCCTGGCCAAGCTGTAATCCCACAGATGCCCGAAGGCTATGTTAAAGCAGGAGAGTCTCGGGACCTATCAGGGATATCTTTCATAAAAGGAGGAGTAAACCAAGCTCTGACAGGGATGCCGGTGTCTGCTTTCAGTGTCATCCTCTCAAAAGCCTACCCTGCTGCAACAGTCCCCATCAAATTTGATAAAATCTTGTACAATAGGCAGCAACACTATGACCCTAGAACAGGAATCTTCACCTGCAGAACCCCTGGACTGTACTATTTCTCCTACCATGTACACGCAAAAGGAACAAATGTTTGGGTTGCACTCTACAAAAATGGTTCCCCAATTATGTACACCTATGATGAGTACAAGAAAGGATACCTTGACCAGGCTTCTGGCAGTGCTGTCATCGATCTCATGGAGAATGACCAAGTATGGCTCCAACTGCCCAATTCAGAATCGAATGGTCTCTACTCCTCTGACTATGTTCACTCTTCTTTCTCAGGTTTCCTGTTTGCTCACATCTAATATGCCACTTACCCAGCCCTGACACACTCTCCTTCAGACCATGTTAACCAGGTACTGCTCTGATTTGTCCTTAGCAGGTCATGCAACTTCAGTGTTGCAACAGGAATGGAGGAGGGAGTGAAAAAGTGGAAGAGAGTGGTTCAAACATAGTAGAATAATATTGTATGTTTTTAGAGAATTGTCATAAAAGAACTGTTTTGAATGATGATTGTCTGACAATGCAAAATAAAAAATTTTATGAATTAATATAATGCACCAGTCTCTGTACTTTTTTTTTCTTTTAAAAGGAAAATCAGAATTTCTATCTATCACAACTCATAACATAATAAAGGATGCTAGATCATACTTCACTATACTTGAATTAACTGAAGGCTTTTTATTCCAAGTAAAAGGTCTCTAATACACCACAGTCCCCTCAACAGCTGGACAATACAATTCAGGAACATTCTATATCCAGCTTCATCTTTAAGTTATCCAACAGGACAAGAAAAACAACTCTAATAAACACAGTTTTATTTAGTTCTACTGTTCTTATTAAGTAATAAATACTTGGAGATAGCTGGATTTACAAATTATTACATGTTACTGAAAATATAAAGCTTCACAAAATGAAAAAGCAACCAGATTTGAAGCCTCAAAATCTATTTGGCTTTCTTCAATGCACATTGATGCAACAAACTAGTTCAGTATTTTTAAATCTCCTAACATTCTGTAACATTCAGAGTACCACAAAGCAATATCGACCAAATCCAAACTTAAAAACATATCCTCACAAGCATGCAGACACTTAACCAGCCCAAAACTGGAGATAATCCTTGCCCTGATTTTTCCCAAACAGTTCATTCCTTTAAAACACAATAGTGTGAGGAATTTATTCTGCTTTTTTGGTAAATTTGTCAGATGATGGCAATAATTAGTCAGTAGACACAACCATATTTACCATACAAACATGTCTCACAAGAAGTCATTTCATCAATTTGTTATGCTACTATGACCAGTTAGCTTATGAATTATGAAACCTTAACAGTTTGGTCACACAATTCTTCCAGTTACAGTTGCCATTCACGTGCTTTAAAAGTATTATATACACTAAAACCTTATGAACCCCTAAAGCTATTAAGCTTTTTTTTAAACAGAAGCTTTTAATCACTTGCACTGAAAGTATGTAGGCCTATGTATAAAAATTTTGTGATATTGCCATTTCTTCATGAAAGCAGAGTTTGAGGCTTGTTATGTTGTGTACATTTGGAATCAGCAATATCCTAAATACTTGATAATACACTGAAATGAATAAAAAAGCTAGGATACCTTTTGCTTGATGGCTGACCCATCATTTGTAAAACTACATAGTGTGTTGGAAACTGTAAAGACCTACCATGAAAGTAACTTGAATTTTGTTTTTGTTCCTCTTTTTAAGTGCTGCTGGATAAGGGAACCTGTGGTTTAGGCTATAATTCAGTAAAATAATAAATGAATATTAGTTCAACTGTGCTTCCCAGTATTTAAACAGCACATCCTGCTGCCCATACACTCTACCAACTTGGAATGTTTCAGAAACAAATGGAGGGATTGGATATGGGAGCTGGAAAATATGGCTAAGTAGAAGGCTTCTGGTTACTTAGGTCACATATGAAATGTATGCCAAAGCACATGCTTGAAACTGTTGAAGATGCTTGGTGCTCAGCAGCTCAGGACCACATTGACATGTGATTCCAATTAACTTACAAGAAACTGGGCCCAGGCAGCATTTTTAAAAGCATAGTTCACTAACCCTTATCATCCATCCATCCATCCATCCATCCATCCATGCACTTAAAATCATGTTTTGTCCTTTATGTCTTTGTTCCTCAAACATGTGGGACTTCAAATAAGTCTACAGCTTGGAACCTCATGCCTGGTTTTTGAAGTCTTTTCATAATTGCTCAGATATTAAGTCACTAAGAAAACAACACTTAAAATTGAAAAGCTAGATATGATACAGTAAATTGTGGTAAAAGCACAACTTATACTTTGATTTTAGCTTTGGATTTTCAGTTTAGAGGGAACCTTGAGAAAGTCTGCAAAATTTTTGTTTGATTTTTAGCATTTTCTCCACAAGAAGATCAGCAATCTATCTAAAGATAAAGCCCTTCTAAGAACACTATTTCTTCTGAATCTTGGATATTAAAGAAAAGAAAATCCAACATGAAATTCAAACGAAAACTTAAGAGCCTGTAATAGTACAAAATCACTTTCAAAGAAGTACTGAAATTTCTGAAGCCTTAAGTGATCAAAAACATGAAGCACCCAAACAATCCATTCTGTACTTAGTGGGAAAACACAGCAAATAAATGTAAAAAATTTACTTTTCACTTGCTTCTTTGGTACAGTTTTCACAAAACAAATTTATCTCATCACTGCTACATCAACATTAGAAACTACTAATATTTTTCCCAAGATTGTTTTTCCTTTGGCCAGAAAAGCATCTTTGCTTTTGTTTCTTATATCTGAAATTGCATATTAAAGATAAAAAATATATATCACAGATGTTATCTTCTGCCAAGACCATAAACTTGAGATCAAAAACATGTATCCTAACAAGTCTTGTTATGAGCAATTTATGAAATCTACTGCCATACCAGCCATGATTTTTTACTTTTATGATGAAATATAATCTTATAAACTGATTGAATATGTTACAAAATATAATTTTAACTATATAGCCACAAATACTACAGTTTCCAGAAGTGTTAGGAAAATTACAGAGTAAGGCAAGCCTTCAGGAGAGAAAGTAGCCTGTTACAAATGTTACAAAATTCTGCTTAAAGTTATGTTTGGCAATATTTCCCTAAAAAAGCCATTGATTTTTTCTGTCAAAAAAATAATCAAATCTGAATTTTTTCACAAGGAAATAATTATACAGTACTTCAAGCTCTTATTAATCCTCTGAAGAGCACACTTTGATTCCATAATACATCCACATAATTTGATAGTGTAAAATACATTGCCCCATGATGTTTTCTTTAAAATTGCTCTTTATTACTATCTATAAAACAGCCACTAAATCTAACACAATCAATATAATGTTAATCACCTTACAGTCACAAACTATTCTAGTAATAAGAATAAAGTATTGAGAATAAAATGGATATCATTTGCAGAGAGCTCTCTTGCAGGTATGACTAGTATTTGCAATGACCACATTGCAAATATCTGTGTTCACTGCTATCTGACACCATGTTTTTCTGATAGTATTGTTTCATAGATTTTCCTTTCTTTTTCGAGTTATTTTTCACAACTGAATGTCTAAAATAACAAGACTATTTGGGAACCTCCGTCCTTTTGCCAGCCTCAGTTCTTCACTTCTTCACAAGGAGAAGAGTGGGTTAATACTCTTCATCAAGCTGAGTCAGGACAATCATGCCTATCTGAAAGAGCCATCCAAGAAAAATATCATAGGGCAATTATCTAAGGCAATTACCATAGCTAAGACAATGAAAAGCAAAATCCATCAGACACCTGATTATGATCAAAAAAAATCCTGTGAAAAAGAGAAGGGACATAGAGACACAAGGGCATACTGACAACAAATCAAAGTGAACTGCAAACACTCAGTGGATTTCAAAAAATAAAGTGGTCAGTCGTTCTGCTCCGCCACGGACAATGGCACTGCTAGGACGGCGTTTCGAGTTGGGAACTTTGCGTCCCCTCAACTGACCACTTAATAAGTTTGCCTTTGAAATTTTACCTTGACTAATTGTTAATGAGCACTGCTTTTCTCTGAAGGGTTAAACCCTCTACAAGGCATGGAGTTAAGTCAAAAGGCTGTGGTTTTAAGGCCAGATTCTGGGCTATGAAAGACACTGGGGCTTCCTGGTATGTAGATGTTGGGATCCAGGTTTACGAGTTTCCTAAGGAAGGTATGTGAGATGTGAAATTGATAAAAATAAATCACTTTGTCAGCAGTGATAGAAGATTAGTACCCGGATTCTTGTATCACAGAGGGACCTGAAGCAAAAAGAGATGCTCTATGGGAATATAACTGTTAAGTGATACAGGAAGAAATTATCTCTGGTTCCTCTGACTCCCTGTTCAGTGCTTTAGCTACTGAACTATGTTATTAAATGGAAGATAAAACCACTGTGAAGCCTTTCAAAGTGATGCATGACAGAGCGTATAATTTTCTTGTATTACAATATTTGAGTAGTGTATATAAGCTGTATTGTTTCCCTTCTGATATTACTGAATTTTATCTGACAAAACCTGTTCCTATCACTTACTACACTTTCCTGCATTTTTAACACTCTTATGCATGCACGTGACTCCGACAGAAGCTAGAAAGAATGAAGTCATATTGCAAATTTTATTTGCAGATTCCAGATTTACATATAGAAATAGGTACCTGATTGACAGGTATAAGCATAAATGTCCAAGTGTATGCACAAGCAGACATATATAAATAAAACTGAGCAATTGTACGACTTCAAAGTTTAGACTTTTTTTGGATCTCATTAGTTTCCAAAGAACACTTTTAAAAATTATTCTTTTTGCTGCATGATCCACACCTTAAAAAAAAAAAAAAAGAGCTGTCATGGTTTGAAGAAAATAATTAACAAAAATTCTAAAAAAAATTAGAACAGTTGATTAGTGTTGATGTTATACCAGCAGAAAAGAAAGGATATATTTATTTTGTGTACGAATGAATTCCCAGGATAATTCATAACTACCAATCACATTCTAAGCTCTAATGAAAACACAGTAAGAACAACAAACAAAGCAGTTTTGGAATATCTTGCTGGTTTTTACCATTTCCATCTTGGTATCAATCCATTTTTGCTTGGAATCGCTCTGAAACAATTTTTTCAATTACATTTGAAAGGAATACAGCAAGTGGGACAGCTGAGGTGAACAAAAAGTTTTAAGAAGGTGAAAACTAGTGTGTCTAGTGAATGTTGCATCAACCAAGGTAATTCTAATAGTAGTTTAGAATTCAGAACTGAGATGCATATAAACATTTTACAGGAAATATTGTTAAAAATAATTTAAATTAACTGCGTGCGTGCACAAACAATAGTTAGCCTTTATTATCACCTTAATATTTTATATGCCTGAGAGTAACTCTGAAGTTATGTCTGTGAAGGA